CTGTGATGGAACGATTTGTGGTTACACAGTGTGCAAAAACAATGGAATATGTCGAGTTAAAAACTCAGGCTTTTCTTGTTCTTGCCCAAAAGAATGGGTAGGGAACACATGTGAACAACCGATCCACTGTTCACAAAACAGGTGTGGGGCTCAAGCTCTCTGTATTCCTCAACCTACTTCATTTTCATATATCTGTGTATGTGCACTAGGCTGGTCAGGTAAGTATTGTGACAGAAAAACCACATTTTTCATAGCTAAGTTTGTTGGCAACTCCTACATCAAATATACAGATCCTTATTATGGAACAAGAGACCTCCAGAATAGCCGCATTTCTGTAAATTTTACTACCAGTCAAACTGAAGGCTTAATAGTATGGATGGGTAAAGGTGAAGATGAAGATAATGATTTCCTTGCCATTGGTCTTGCCAATGGAACATTAAAAGTTGTGATTAATCTTGGAGAAAGAATCTCTGTTCCTCTAATTCATAGCAAACACTCCACCTGTTGCGATGACAGATGGCATTTTGTTACTGTAGTTCAAAACCAAACTTGTATTAAGGTGTATCTTGATGAGGAGCTAATTCTTTTTGAAGATATTGATCCAGACAGAAAGTACACTGCTTTAAACTATGGTGGCATTTGTTACTTTGGTGGGTTTGAAATTGGCAGGAAAGTCAAAATAGTTACTGCAGGGCTTTTTCAGAAGGAATTTATTGGTAAAATTAAAGATGTTGTGCTCTTCAAAGATTCTAAGAAGGTTCAGCTAATTAAAGCAGAAGGGTATAATGTTTATGATGGAAATTATAGAAAATAATTGAAAACTATTTACATAGTGATCAATTTCCTTTTCCCCCTGTTTCATGTGTTAGCTGGCAGTATAAGACTAAGGAACTGATGTAGAATAGAATGGTTTGAGTTGGAAGGGACCTTAAAGAACATAATCTAGTTCCAAGCCCCCTGCATGGGCAGGTAAACCTCCCACTAGATCAGGTTGCTCAAGGCCCCATCTAACCAGGCCTTGAACACTTCCAGGGATGGGGCTTTCACAATTTCCCTGGGCAATGTGTAATACCACCTTCACGCTAAATAATTTATTCCTAACCTCTAACCTGCATCTACCCTCTTCCAGTTTTAATACATTACCTCTTGTGCTCTCACTATAAGCCCTTGTAAAAAGCCCCTCCCCAGCTTTCCTGTAGCCCCATCAGGTACTGGAAGGCCACTATAAGGTCTCCCCTGTGCCTTCTCTTCTCCAGGCTGAACATCCCCAACTCTCAGCCTGTCTTCACAGGAGGTGCTCCAGCCCTTGGATCATCTTCATGGCCCTCTGGAAGCACTGAATAAAACTGTCTCCGATTTTTTTTTTTAATGCAGAGTATTAATAGCATATGTAACATGTGAGCTGATGGTTTACTCATAAAATTACTTGTAGATACTTTTCAGTATTTTTGGTAAATAATGACAAATTCTGCAGGGTTTTTTATCTTTATTGTACTGGAAATGTGTTTGTAGACAATAAAGTATTAATTAGCTTATAAAGCCAACCATTAATCCAGTATTACATGGTTGTTGCCTTATAAGAACAAGCAACTTACCTGGTTCTCTAAAATGCTTAAATGTTATTAGAATGCAGTTTCTCTTTTACAGTTTTGCAATATTAAGATCAGTTGTAAAAACTGAAATTGATAGGGGAAGAAAAGGTGCACTTGGGGCTAAAGCACATTTATTGCAATGAGAATTTTTAACATCGTAACACCAGTCTGCATTTGTTAACTCCATGAAGTTTTTCTCCCTCCCTTCTGAGTATTTATCTCGTCTGCATTTAAGTAAAAGGGTTTAAGCCTGTTTTCACACTAAAACAGTACAATTAAAATAATTCTTTAAGTGCAGAAAAGGTATCTTACATAATTACTGCACAGATATATAAATATGCCTGCTGTTTTTCTCCAGCAGAGGCCACCCATGTTTGACTACATGGAAACTTGTTTTAACCATTTGCAACCGGAATGTGGGAACATGGCAGTCTGCCTACCACTAACTTCAGTTCCTAACAGCTTAAAAACTAGAAAGTCTAAGAACTGCTTTCCTTTAGCTATACCCTTCTAGTCTATATGCCCCTACATGAGATTCTGAAGTTTTACTAGACCAGTGTTTTGGCCACAGTAAATTCAATTTTCATTACTATCTTCTTCATGGATTTATAATGTCAAAAGTAAAAAGAGCTCCTCCGTAAAAATGCAAAAACTCTATTCCTTCTGTAAAAGTTCAGTAATATTCTAAACTTTAGTGAGCAGTAAAAACAAAATAAATCAAGTTATATCTTAATGTCCTTAAGTGATTTATGATAGTATCTACATTTCTCATTTGACTGTTACCTTACTGTATAACCATTAAATAAAAATAATAGTGATTGATTCCTGTATTTTCCTTTTTTACACTGCTGTTGGCTCAAAAGCACGCAATAAATCATCACCTCCTCGCATGGAAATTCTCCAAATACAATGAGCACCTATCAGAAACAAGTAACTAGTTCTGATGAGGTGTTTTTGTCTTTCCATGAAGCTGACACGGAGCAGAGACAGTAAGCACAGTAAAACCAGGAAACACACATTATTCTTGACATAACCATAATTAGCATGTAGCAATGACTGCACTGCCAAGTCACTTACAGATTACTTGAGGATAACTACGGTGGTGATGGAACTACCCCAAGATGTCTTAATAAGGATGTGCAAACTTCTTTGTGAGGTTCTTTTTATCCTCTTTATCTGCTTTGAACCCTCAAGTGATCAGCCTGATGCAACACAGCTTCTTTTCCCCTCTTCCCAACAGGCAGCTTATGAAGCCCAGGCTGGCTCCAGATTCTTCCAGTTTCTCCAAGAAGGGCCTTTTATGACCATGTGATGCTGGGGATGGGGGCACATTTAGGGCTTATCCTGTTCTCTCTGGGGCTGCTGGTGTACTGCCAGTTCCTCATCAGTGCAAACTGCTTCTTGTGGTCTGAGCAGCAATTCAGTGTAAAACAAGCAATCAGAGTGCCTCCAGCTAACAAGAGTGTTGGAAGGAGAGTGACTGAAGGCAACAGAGAAGACAACATCCTTTATTCCTGTTGTAGTGGGATTTATTCTCTTTACACTAACTCAGATTCTAGGACAAAATCCTGGAAACTGTCGCTGCCTGTTAATTTTGTACTCTTAACAAAACTCTTCCTCAAGAGCAGTTTTACTGTGGCTCTCTCCAGATTCTACATATAAGAGGCAGAAAGTAAAGCACTTGGCAAACTTGGAAAATGTCTACATATTCTTTCCAGAAAAATGTTTTCTGGTAGATCTGGCAGAAAGCACTCCTGTCCCTTCTGTACAGACAGTTGCAATTTTCACTGCTCCCGGTTTCTTTTTAGAGCACAAATGGATGTGAATGTGAGAGATCACCAGTGGACCAGGAGCAGATGACTTAAATGGGTCAAAAGAAAATCTTCACAAACAGAGCTGCCAACTTACATCTTACTCTAAAAGCCAGAACAATGTGTTGGTGCACTTTTCTGTCTAAAGAACCCTGATGTAAATGTTTAAACACAACACATGCATAATACTACCAGATATATTCAATGGCAAGACTACTATACAAACCATGGAATTAATGTGGAAAAGATTATTGATCATGTCAAATTACTTATTAGAAGTCTGCTATCCCCGTTATTCGGTGCAAGATTTTTAATTTTAGTCAATTTGACCATGAAGCTACCTGCAAGGTATCCAAGTAAAGTTTTACCTTAAAATATGATAGTAATTAAAACTAACAATTTGTGTGTTTTTAAACTACAGCAAAATACAAAATGCTACTTCAGTACATAAAGTCATGTGCTCAAAGGAAAAAAAAAATCGCTGAAAAGCAAAACAATAAACCTAAGTTTTTCTTTATATAATGCAATGTTTTTGTCGTTTCTGACAAACTCAAGAAAATTACCAGTGTATTTCAAGAAGTGTAAGAGCAGGAGATTATTTTTTTTTGCTTTCTGCTTTGCATCAGTGGATAGATAGCAATCACTGCAAAATACCTATTAACTCAAAGTTCCAGTGGTACAAACATCTGTATCTGCCCTTGCCACCCCCCTTTGCCCCTCAAAACTTTTAACAGCCAAGCCATGAAGTGTACAACAGATGTGACATTCTGTAACTCAGCCTGCTATATCCATATTTAGCCTACAGTTTTACACCTATGAAATCAAACACACACAATATGTGAGAAAGTTTTATCGTTTTAGAATCAAAATATCCCTTAAAATATTTACATTTTACAGTAAAAAGGATAGCAAAACACAAAGTAATGTACAAGCTTAGGTATTCAAGTTTTTGAAGCATGGAAAATGATGGGAGAAATGAATTTACTACAACAAATCAGATTTTCAAGAATTTAGGTTAAAAATGCTTTCTTATTAAAACAAGTGCAGTTTAAAGCAATAACATTTGAGCAGCTCAGCCTTCCAATTTCTGGTCACAAACTGCTTCAGATGCTTAGGAAATACTTGAAAAACTAATGAAATACACTTGATTATTTTATTGTACTACTGAATAATTTATTAAAAAAGCCCAACTCTTCACACCACTGAGCATATTAGATTTTGTTGTAATGTGTGTGGATTCTGAGGCTTTGCTACAGTCTTTAAAAACAGTGCAATTTAAAAATAAGGTTATTGTATGAAATTCACCTTTAAAATTACCAGAGCATCTTAAAACAGAAGAGAGCACAAATTACCAAAGGCAGCAACTATACTGCAGACTTGACTACAGCCAACTTTATCAGCAAGAAAATTTCTAAGCTTTTATTGCATATTAATAAAAGGAATCTTTAAAATTTTGAATATACAGCAATGTAAAATTTTAAAAAATATTAAACTCCTACTTCTAGTGACAGTTGGTATAATGAAAAAAAAGGATGAGTATTGGTACATTGACTGGTACCAAAACACAGACTTGTTTCTGCAAAACACCAACACTGAATAAAAAAGATGGCACAATCCTAGCAGGCTTTTTGTTTGTTTTTAATACAAAGTTTTACAACGTTGCTCTAACAGTTTATTTAAATAGAATTTTTAAAGGCTGCCTGCATCTTTTTACCTTTTGCTTTTAGTTCTGTCACTGTGGTCCCTATGTCTCTCTCTGTTCTTTTCACTTTCTCGTTCTCTATGTTTCTCTTTGCTTTTCTCCCTCTCCTTATCTTTTTCATGAGCCTGTTCTTCACTTTTAGGCTTCTCTGTCTTTTTTTCTGGATTTCTAGTCTCTCTGGGGCTTTTTCCATCAGCAGACCTATCACTGTGTGGAGATCGCAATCTTTCTTTGTCTCTCTGTCCTTCCTCTCTACCCTTTCTCTCCCTTTCCTTTTCCTGGTTTCTGTCTCTGCGTCTATTTCTTTCAGAGTCTTGCTCCCAGTATTTTTCGTTGTTCCACTCTTTTTCATGTCTGTCCTTCTTTTGGTGATGGGATTCACTGTAAAACCTTTGTCTCTGTTGATCGGTTTTTCCTCTGTTGAATGCTCTCTCCAAATGCTGTTCTTGTCTGCCCCAAGGATCACTGTGGCGTCTTTCTGGTCTCCTACTGTCTTTATTCTGAAAAAAATTTTCTGGCCCCAAAAATCTTGATTGTTTGTGAGACACTGGTAGCCCTTGTGCAATGGGTCCAGCATAGTGTGGTGGCTGACCTGATATATGAGCTACTGGTGGCCATGGCATCATTGGATTTTGAGGAAAGCCAAAGCCTGGAGGAGGAAGAAGTGGAGGTGGCAAATGAGAAGGAAATCCAAACATAGGGTTGCTTTGTGGAGGGAAGTTATGTGGTGTTGGAGGTTGAAACTGAAATCCAGGTGGATTAGATTTAGGATGCTGAAAATTCTGCTGTGGAGGCCTAACAGATGAGAAGGTGCCACTTGTAATAGGACCTGGGACTTTGGAAGTAAATTCAGAACGAGAAGAGTTTTCAGTTTCAAAATGAGATGAAGTTGCTGCTGGTCCCCTTCTAAACGAGTTCACTGTTTCGATATTTTGCATCAGCGGATCTTCCTGCGAGTGTTTGGCATCTTCCGCTTGCGATGCACCTGCACTATCTGCTTTTGCTGCAGTTGAACTGTACTGCGTCTCTGCTTGGGCATCACTTTGATACAGGTTCAAGCCCACTTCTCCAGAAGCTTGTTTATTCTCTGATTCCATCTGATCATTTCCTGAAGTGTTCTGTCGGTCTTCATTTCTGCTAACGTCTCCTTCCTTGCTTTCTGACGCGTTGCTCTGCTGGCTTCGTCCAGCTGCCTGTCGTGGGTCTCTTTTAAGATTAATAAATGGTGGTGATTTAGAGGTATTAGCAGTGGCTCCTTCAGCAGAGCCTACATTAACGTTGCTCTCTTTGTTTTTTTTCCCTGCATTTGATGAGGAAGAAGAAAAGCTGGAATTTGCAGTCCTTCTGACTTCCTGTGCAACATTATCCTTGTCGGGTAACTGCTGCTTTAGGTCATTTTCTTTACTTTCTTCAGTTTCTTTATTCTGTGACTGTGCAGATACATCTGCTAAAAATGCTTCTGTGGAAACATCTGGAGGTTTTCCCTTAAGACTCAGCCCTACCAAAGATGGAGCACTTCTTGCGGAACTTGAGGTTCCTACAGCTTCTGCATCCACAGTTGCAGTAGCATTAGTGGATTCTTGTACATCATCCAAACCAGTCTTTCCTTCACTAACTTCAGTAGTTACATCAGCAACATCCATGTTTTCTTCTTTTAAAGTTGCTTGTTCATTTAATAATGGTGTGTCTTCACTGGGACTTGTTTCTGACTTGCTCTGTTCATATACCTGCCCTGTTGTACCCAACAGGCTTTGAAGGATATCATCCACTGGCAAAGGTTTATTTGCTAGCTCCAGAGTAGAAGGCTGATTTTCCCATCCAACCAGGACTCCAGGAAGAAATCTGAGAGGCTTTGGTGGTTCATGTTTAGTGCTTTCCACCAAGGGTTCAATAGCTGCAGGAGCATCTTCTACATTAGACTGCTGAGGTTTATTTCTCTGCTTGTGTAGCACAGTTGTGAAGGAATTAAAAAAATCATTTTCCTCTTCTTCTTCTAGTGTCAACTCATGATGAGAGACCTCAGGTTTGTTTGGCTTGCTTTTTTTCTCTGGTGGCAAGTTACTCAAGGTACTTTCAGAACCTTCATCCACAAAACTACTAGTTACACTTGTAACAGCAGTTATCTGCCTCTTCATCTTCTGGCGAATTATCAATCCCAGTAATAAATTTGGTCGATGTATTTCAATTCCTGCACAAAATTGTAACAGCAATTTATCATCTCCTTAAGTTTTGGTTAAGGCAATCATTTTAACAGAAATAACCATCATGCTCTTATGATGTATTAGCTAAATTATTTACTTTATGACATTTGAAATTTCCATAATTAAACACAACAATCAATACTTAATAAGAAATGTATTTCCTATGTAAAAATTATTATTTCAAACACTGGAAATTAAAAATACTTAAAGTAGTGTATCACCCACTAACATGTCCAAATATAGAATACAATACAGTTATATAGAGGACACCTAGTCACATAAGAAAAAGCAGAGAAGTTAAACAACATGTTAGCTAACACAGCTACAGTCTGAAACAGTAGTAGCAAAGCACAAGAGGAAAAAAATAAATGAATGTGGCTAGCACTCTTGTAACCACATCTCCCAAACATTTTGTGCTAGACATTCTTCTTCAAAGTTTACCAAGCCTGACTTTCCAAAATGGCTTTCCTCATTTCAGGAAGGCACTGTATGTCAAAGTAAATGATTAACTATGTCTTCATTATGTGTTTTGTTCTTGAAAAAAATCTTGAGTTGTATCTCATCCTCTCTTTCAGCCCCCACCTATCTCAAAAGAAGATATCATCCACAAATTTTTATAACCAAAATAAATTTATACAAAGTAACTCAGGTGTAAGCAGAACAACTAAGAGCCATGTCAGCTTTTCTTCCTTGCCCACCTGTTTTTTAAATTTTCCATGTTTTTTGGTTCTGTTGTTGTAGTTTTTTGGTTCTGTTGTTGTAGTTTTTTGGTTTTTTTTTTAAGAAAGTTTGAACACTTCAGAAAAAAAGGAATGAGTACATTACATACACTAGTACATCAAAAAATACTAATTTTAAGGTATCAATTTGGAACTCAGTACACAGCTATTATAGTTCACTCACATCACTGGCTTTACTCAGATTGTAACCTACAAAGCCACCGGGGTTAGAGGCAGAATGAAGAACTTGAAATGAAGATGCAGGCAGTAAGCTTTTCAACAATACTTAAGAGTATCAGAATCATATTACAACAGGAAATAAATGTCTTTTCAAGAAAAGTCATATAATACTATGGGAAACTCATGGCATGTTTGAACATAATATCTGGCACTTTAAAATTTATTTTTCTCTTATATTTCTGTTCTAAAGTTCTTTAAGTAGCATTATGATAATAAAATTCCAAATTCCAAGCTGTACTTACCAGGCCCATCAAAAGGCACAAGATGATGTGGGACTTTGTCTGAGGAACCTAAAGGGATGAGGTACAAATCTTTCACTTGCTTCATGTTGTTGGCTGCGACGCCGTAACGCTTTCTACTGCTGAAGTAGGCAAACAACAAGGCATAGGAGATCTGATCCTCTTCAGTTACAGGGGTAAAGCGAACCACACAGATCTCCTGTTAAAAACAGAAGGGGAAAAATATCATCAGATCTATTTTTTCTATGACATTTTAATTGTTTTAGTGACGGCTCTTAATTTAAAAGCACAGTTCAGAGGAGGAGAAAAAGCCCCACGGAGGCAGAGAGAACAAGAGAAAAGACAGAAGAAGCAGAAAAAGGGCCAAAAATAATTAAGAAGAACTGAAGAAAACAAAAATAATTTAGTGTAAAAAATTCATTGTGTTGCAGGAAAGAAAACCCAACATTGTATGAGCCAGCTAAGTAACAAGTTTTAGGGAAGCATGCCAGCTTCCAAGTAATTATTCCCATCCCCCTCTTAAAGTTACTAGAAAGCTTTACTTTTGTAGTCCACTATATCTGAGATACCCATTAGTACTAGGGGAAGATCAGTATTCAGATCCCAGAATGATGACCAAAGCCCAGCTAAGGAGTCGATGCTGGGGCTGATACTGCTTAATTATTTTAATTAATGACCTGGAAGATGGGACAGGAGACTGCAAAACTGAGATGACACCTAATTAGGGGCAGTGGTCAATATGTGGAGGAGAGTGGGCTGCCATTCAGAGGGTATGCACTGAAAAAATGAGCTTTCACAAAGGTCAAAGGCAAATTCCAAATTAAATCTTGAGCTGGAACAATCCCATGCACCAGGAGAGGCCAGGTCACTTGACTGGCTAGAAAGCAGCTTGGCATAAAAGGACACAGGGGTCCTGGTGGACAAGTTGAGTGAAAACCAGCAGTTCATCCATGCCAAGAAGGCCAACTGCATACTGGGGGTCAGAACTGGAGCAGCCAGCATACCAAGAGAAGCAATTATTTCCTTTTATCTGGCACTTGTGAGACAGCATCTGCAGAATACTACCTAGCTTTGGGCTCTCCCACTCAAGGACAACCTGCAGACAGTGGGACAGGTCCCGCAGAGAACCACTAAGATGGTTTCGCATACTGTAATTCTTGAGCTATGTGAAATGGTGTCCAGAGATTCATGCTGAGTTACTGTCTCAAATGAATACAGATATTGTCAAACAGCAAGTGACAGGTTAAGGTTAGATAGCAAGAAAATAAACACCATCAGCTGTCATCCATCCCATTTAAAAAAAACCACCAGTTATCCTTGAAGTGTCATGTGTTTTGCAAATGTTCCAGGGGGGCAAAAAAAAATTAAAAAATTCTTTGGAGTGAATAGGATGTATGTTAAACAAAACAGTAAGTCTTGAATATGTTAAATTCTTACCTTGGTCCCTGAAGCTTTGATTTTTTCTACGTACTCCCAGACAGTGTGAGGAGATATCCTGCCGCCTACTTGAATACTATCAGGTAAATCCTATGAGAAAGGACAACAGAAATCTGAATGTAATGTAAAAATTGTGGTAAATCCTTCATCCAGTATCTGTTTTATATATTCAAAACACAATTAATTCTTACAGTTCTTAAATTATGATTTTAAAGTATCAGTAGAAGTTACAACAGCAGAAACAAACTAATCTAAAGTTTGGATATTTAAATTAAGATTTGCAGTACAAAGTTAATGATCTGTACTACATCAGTTATGATTCAACATTGTTCATCCATACTTTCCCCAAAATTATTTACTACAATGAAGAGAGCACTACATAAACTTATTTTTTAAGGGACAAGCTAGTCTTACAACAGGTTAGGACCAGAATTGCTACCAGACAGACAAAAAAATAAACCCTATTATGCAGGTTTCTGTAGTAAGATAAGAAGTCTGTCAGCAGAGACCACGAGTAGACATTCTCTTGTTTAATGCTCTAACTTCAAAACTGAGCTACAATTTTCTCACCTCTAATTCAGAAAATGGATGCCACCAAGGTGGCTATTTCAGAAGTAAATTTTATCCTACCTTTCCCTGCTTCTGTGTACTACAGAAGATGTTCCATAAAAAACAGGAAACAGTTACCACTTTTCTAAAATCTGCTTTAGAAATACTGCTGCTCATCCTCAAGAAACATCCTTGCAGCGAGATGAGCTCAAAACACCTTAAAATATGTAAAATAATTTTAATCCTGATGAACATGGGTCCATGTAGGACGAACTGAAAAATACTTTACTTACAAATACATACCCTAACCTATTTCCTCCCACAAATGCTTTATCAGGACAATTATCATGCATCACCACCTTTCATTATTATACTATCATTAGCTTGCAAGGCAAACAAGTCATTGAAGTTAATTTATTAAGTTTTTCATTCACTGCAGTAAACATAAGTACCTCTGTTAAGTACTCAAATGAGCCAGAAACTGGGTAAGCCTTAATAACAAACTTTGCCACTGAAGGCATATTGATAAAACCCTTCCAGATGAAATTCAGGCGTGCAAGGAACAGACTTTCACATTCCACGGTACCAGGTGTTTCTGACCTAAAAAACAACAAACAAAAAGCCACTTTGGTTAGAACATGTTGTATAATGCAAGATATGTAAACCATAATCTTTCTTTGTAAAAGAACTTGAGTCATCAACTGTTTTCTTTTTAAGTTAAGCATACTAGACAGCCAATGGTAAGAGACAGGCAGATAACCATGTTTCTTGTCTTCCAGTGGAGCAGATAAATATTACATGAAGGAATGTCAGGTAAGCAGCACATTAGTTCACTACTATAAGTTTTGTGAATGGAGAAGTTATTTAGTCCAAGAGTTATGAAATGCTACCAAAAAGAACACACAAACACATATAGGTGCTGCAGAGCCAGTAAGAACTTATCAGAAGATAAGAACTTCCCCTGCTGCAGGGAGGGGGCAGAAGTCGGCATACTGCCTGTACCCATGTGCAGGTATGTACACACACATTCAGCTGCAGCACTGTACATACTACATTGCTTAGCAGCAAAATACAACATGAAGTCTGTATCCTGACATTTTAAATTTGAATTCATGCACCTTTTTAGACCTTTTTGCACCAGAAAATATAACGTAATTTACTTTTCCCCAAAAGAAAAAATAGTAACTAGAAGTTTGTGATCACAACATATGTAGTATTACTATTTATGACTGCACAGCACCTTTTACTCCAGCACAGAACCCCATTCCTAAGAAGTGCACAACTTCAAATACACAAAATGAAGTGACTAATGAAGTGTCATTAAAACAATTAGCTTTAGTCATAATAGCTTAACAAGATTAATACTGTCTTTCATGTAAATGTTTCTACAGTTTCTATTACTTTGGGAGAGGTGTGAATGACGACTTTGACGAGTCTTGCTTATCATCTTCCAGTAATTCTGAAGCTAAAATACTTGATGTTGAAGAAAGGGCATCTGCAATGCTCTCAGCTTCATTGTCTGACTGTTTCCGTGCAACTCCAACAGACACTTTCACTTTTTTCGCAGAGAGATCATCAGTAGGTGGTGCCATTCGGCCTGCAGAGAATGAATTGCAATGCTTGTTATTTTTTTATTGAAAAACCAAGAGGACTTCCTCTGAAGACTTGGAAGACACACCAGAAATACTACATATTGTCATCGAAGTGGAACAGGATAAAGACATCATACATTTTATATGTATTTATACAATGTATAAATTCACACATTGTATATATTTATGTAGTATTATACATAAATATTGCCACTGTAATACAGTAGGATAAAGAAATGCAGCATCAATAACAGCATGAACAGGAATTTAAGGGATTCCTTTCTCTGCATTTTTATGTGTTTTTTTCTAAACAGAAGACAACATTATGCCAATAGCCTATCATTTCAATAGCCTCTTTTGGAAATTATGGTGTAAAACGCTACTTCCACATCTCTGTCAGCAAACTAGGGAAAAAAGAAAAACCACATTTATTCACATTCTTGAAGTATATTGAGATTTATGACTAAAAAGCATTAAACAAACATTATGTATTTATTTTGACATGCAGTTCAAAATTACCTATGCAGATTTTGCAGTTAAGATCGAAGAGATGATTCTTATGTTGACTTGTGGTGTCTGGAGATGAAGATGCATTTACTTCTTTTTCAGCTTCCTCTGACTTCTCAAACAACTTTGTATTAAGTTCCTAAGAAAAGTCAAATACATTTCAGTTAGCCTTTTTTTCCTCTATTCATATTCATAGAATCGTAGAATGGTTTGGGTTGGAAGAGGCCTTGAAGATCATCTAGATTCAACCCCCCTGCACGGGCAGGGACACCTCCCACTTGATCAGGTTGCTCAGAGTCCCATCTAACCTGCCCTTGAATATTTGCAAGGATTGGGCTTCGACATCTTCCTATTGCTTAATATTTTACAGTATTTTTTTCCCTTCAGACACAAACCTCTCACTTCAGCTTTATAGCCTAAAAGGCTATCACTAAACCTACAAAAGCATTAAAAGAATTAATTGGTATTCCTAAATATCTTTTGGGTAAGATTTAGAGTATTTTCTACTATTGCCAGAATTCATCATACAGTCATAGACACAACTCGGAAAAAAAAAAAATAAATCACCAGGCCCAGAAGAGAAAGTCAGTGAGAATGAAAGAAAAATTAAACTTAAAACAGACCTAACATATAATTACAAATCGGAACAACGAAATCATGCACAAAACCACTTTACAAGCATATTATCTATGAACTAAATATGTCATGTTGCCAATTTTCTTTTTTACCTGAATTTCCATTACTTCCTCTTGTTCTTTTATTGGTGTTTCATTTTCAATTTCTATTTCTCCCTTGTGAGTAATTTTTGTGATAGGTCTTCTTTCAACTTCCCTCTGTTCTTTCTCAATCATTTCAATTGTCTGTAAAAACAGGAAGTTATTTGTATTTACTTCCATGCAATAAAATTAGCAAATGCACAAATATAATGACAGAAAATAGGACTGCAATTTGGAAACCCTCTGAGGGAAAAAGAGTATTTTCTTATTTGGCATGTGTCAGGTAGTTTCATAAAGCAAATGCACAAGCAGCTGGTCCAACTCCACCTTCAGTACAGACAGTACTTATCAGGCATGTATTTAAACAAGTTATAAAGCAGACCTTCATCACAAAATTTCAAGATAGATCATTCTGATTTTCCAAGAACTAAAGAAAAAAAAAAGCATCAACTCTTTTCCCATTATAATAGGGGTAATGTAGGACATAAATGCATATAGATTTCTATCATTTTTATAAGTTTGTTTTTGAGTACATAAATCTAACACTCTACCTCAAAAGAGCATTTCAGTGTACTTTGAAAGTAATGGATATGCTAATTCTGATCAGCACTGCTGCTTTGCTCTGTCACAAAAAATAAAACATAAACCATTCTTACTAAAATTGCTTCTTAAGGAAAATTTCTACTTCTTAAACAAGATACAGCTTGTGTTGGTTGTCCCCAATATTTAAGCCTGGTGTCATAAGGAAACAGTAACTCTACAATTGCTTTATCTGTCTGCCAAATACCTACAGCGACTTTTGAACATATTGCAAAAATTTAAAAAAATAAAATAAAATTAGTAAGTAGCAGTCACGAAGTCTTGTTTAAATAGGGAACGGAAAAATAACAGACAAATGGTAAGTTGCTATTTATTTTACACATTGTATTCCATTTCAGCCTTTAGAAATGCTGAAGTATTTCTCTGAAACATTTAGGACCCTTCAGCAATTACGGAGAAGCACAAACTTTTGTTTTGAAGGAAACAGCAGTGGAATATGGTTTTGTATGGTCTTCTTTCAGTATTTTATGGATATTACAACAACAAAATAAATAATGACTTTCTAGGCCCCCAAAACAACTTTGAGATGATACATTAATTCAGCACCTGTTTTTCTATAGGAAGTAGCAAAATTTTGTCATGTTTCATAAACAAGTCTAGTCACAGTACATAAAGAAAAGGGGAAGAAAAAACAGGGATACTTAATGTTGCAATGCAACCTGCAGTCTCTGAAACAGCTTTCCACGGTACTGAATCAGTTATCACTGAACACTCTTTCATTCTGAGCACACAGTATTCACGAGGATGAATTTCCATCTATTTCTATGTTTCAATAACTACTCATTACTTTTTTATCAAAGTAATCTGATCTAGCCAACAATTCCTAGTAACATAAAACACAAATACAAGATGCCTACCAGCTAACACTACTGCAATTTTGTGCCTTTCAGTTCTATTAAGTGGCATATAAAACCAAAGATTCTGCCAACACAAATTCAGATTTTGTAAACCATAAAACTTCATGCTACAAACTGGGCATTTGTAAGCAGGTACAGTTACCTATCATTGGACAAACTGCCCAATAAACAGGGTAGCATTTAAGAAAACGTAATTTTCTATAAAAATACAGCTCTTTACATTC